CTGCCAGGTGGGTGCTGGGGATAGAACCTAAGTCCTCTGGAAGTGTTCTTAACCCTTGAGTCACCTCTCAGTCACCATTTGCATCTCTAAAAACTATATTGACGCTTTGCTTATTTCATGTGTAGAGAAAATGAAAGTGAAGTAATTAACAAACTGGGCAGGAAGATACAAGTAATTACAAGCTGAACCTGGTTAGGCGCGCAGCTGAGAGACAGAGACGGTGACTCCAGCACTCAGGCAGCCCAGATTGGCTGAGCAGGAGCTGGAGGTCAACCTGGGGCTACAGAGCGAGGCCCTATCTCAAAAGACCAAAATTGAAAAAGAAAGGGGAAAAAATGAACCTAGGGGAACAGTCACATCTCTGCTACATGATCTATCTGTGCCTCTCAGCTCAAAGTCCTAACTTTAGCCATTTAAAAACTGGTCTGGGTGGGTCTCACCGCCAAATCTCACCATCAGAGTTAGATTCCTGAGATCACAAGGCAGAAGGACAGGACAGACTCCTGTGGGATTGTTCTTTGACACCCGCCACACACACAGACACACAGACACACAGACACACAGAGAGAGAGAGAGAGAGAGAGAGAGAGAGAGAGAGAGAGAGAGAGAGAGAGAGAGAGAGAGAGAGCGCGAGCGAGCACACGGAACTCTTATTTTTCCCTTTGCGGCTAGTGCTGACATTTTGCCAGTAGAGGGCGGAGGTGAGACACTTTAGGAGAATAGGAGAAGATAGGGATGACTTCCTGCTTCTGCTCAAAATGCACCAGGATTCCACAGTTGACACAGATGGCAGGGACCTGCATCTCCTGGGCACAGGGTAGGTAGTGAGCACAGGCAAAACACTGTTGAGAGGCCTAATATGGTGATGCCTACTTGTAATGGTAGCACTCAAGAAGCTGAGTAGGACGATTACACACTAAGCTACATAGCAAGGAACAGACAGACACAGACATCCACACTCTATTGTAGCTCACTAGCAGAGCACTTGCCTGGAGTTCTAGTAACCCACTCACCATCAAGTCTGTTAAAGTCATTGTTCGTGCTAATGACAGCTTCTTAAGACCTCATTGCACACATTCCTCATGTTCATGTTGAGGGGGGCAGAGCAACTTGATTTCCTAATTGTCAGCTATTTATCTCTCCCTGGCCAGACAGGCCAGCTTCAGCAAAAGGACTGTCACTCAGACAGGTAGTGCTCTTATACCAGCACAAGCTCCACGGGAGCCTGGAGACATAACAGTCTTTACAGAGGATAGCCCTGACTTCCTTTTTTCCTTTTTTTTTTTTTTTTTTTTTTTTTTTTTTTTTTTTTTTTTTTTTTTGCGTTTTTGAGACAGGAGTTTCTCCGTGTAACAGCCTTGGCTGTCCTGGAACTTGCATTGTAGACCAGGTTGGCCTCGAACCCACAGAGATCTGCCTCCTGAGTGTGTGCCACTACGGCCAGGTTGATAGCCCTGACTTCTAAAAGTGCAGCAGTCATAGGTACAGCTGCAGCTGGTACTTTGTTTTGTTTCTTTGAGAAAGGGTGTCTCCACGTAGCCCTGGCTGGAACTCACAGAGATCAGTGATCAGCCTGCCTCTGCCTCAAAGGTGTGCATTAACATGCCTGGGCATGTAGCTCCTTTTTTTTTTTTTTTTTTTTTTGAGGCAGGTCTTCCTTTGTAGCTTAAGCTTAACCATATAGCCACTGCTGGCCTTAAATTTGTATTGATCCTCTTGTCTTTCCCTCTTAGGTTCTAGGATTACAGGAATGAGCCACCATGCCTGCCTTTTCTTTGCTTGTCTTTGAGATCAGATCTGGCTTGAGGCTTGCCATGTGGACAGGCAGGACTTGAACTTGCAGTGATTCTCCTGCTCAGACCCTAGACTAACAGCTGGTAACATTGGCCAGTGTTGACTACTAAGGACTCCCCAAAGGTGGGTCGCAGCTGGGTTCCTAGGCTCACTAGAACTGTAGTGCCTGTAGGGTTAAGGCTCTGGGTACTGAGGACCGTGCAGCTTTATAGGGCATCACTGGCTGCTAGCCCCTCCTCCTCAGCTGCTGCAAAGCACTGAGGGAGCCCAAAGAACTCGGATTTCTGTGCTGGTGGAGCACGAGGATGAGAACTAATCGGTATTAGTGACAGTAGAGGGCAGCAGTCAGCAGCTTCCGGCCACCCTACCCCTGGGCAGCTTTGTAATAGAATGCTTCCTCTGATATCTTCCCTGTGAAGAGCTTTCTCTGGTACCCTGAAAGGTTATTGTCAAGTTCCACAGAGCATATATTTCCAGAAAGTTCCATGGGTGGGGTCCCACAGGGTATGCAGTTTCTCCAAGGTCTGGATCTCACATTTAGGTGGAAAGGATAGGAGTTGTTCCTTTGTCTTTTCTGTTCTTTGTTACGTTTACCTATTTGGTGTGTGTGTGTGTGTGTGTGTGTGTGTGTGTGTGTAGGTCAGAGGAGAACTTGCAAGAGTCAGTTTTCTCCTACCATGTGGCTCCTGGGTCATGGTCTGTCTCGGTAGTAAACACTCCATTTGCTCAACCATCTCCTTAGTCCTCTTAGATTCTCTTTTTGGCATTTTAAAATAGGGTCTAACTACATAGCTCAAGCTGACTTCAAATTCAAGACTCTCCTGCCTCAGCCTACTATGGAGATTAAAGGCGCGAGCTATCACACCCAGATTCATATTACATTCTTCAGGAGAATTTTCTTTTAAACCCCGGAGTAGCAGCCAGGCACTAGTGGCACACACCTTTAATCCCAGCACCCTGGAAGCAGAGGCAGGCAGGTCTCTATGAGTTCAAGGCTAGCCTAGTCTACAGAGTGAGTTCTAGGACAGTCAAGACTACACAGAGAAACCCTGTCTGGAAAAAAGAAACAAAAACCCCTCTGGGTAGCAAGACTGATGAATCCCCACTCTCAGGCATCCTTCCTCACCCAGACCTGAAGTCCAGATCTCATTAGCGCACGAGTGGATGGGAAGTTATGGGTGCTCCAAGGGCAGATCATACATGCGGCTCCTCTGGAACTTGCCAGGGGATTTGGGACTGAGAGGTGATCAAAGATAACTGTCAGGACCGTAGAACCCAGGTCTTTACATGTGGAAAAAGGAATGTTTTTCATTTAGCAGGATTTGTGCTGGTTAAAGGGCAACGGCATGTGTGAGATAGTTGCATGTATGTGAAAGTTTTGCTTGCATGCATGGGATCTGCTGCCTCACACTCTTGCCGCCCCGCCTTGCCCACCACGGTGGATCGTACCTCCAATTGTGAGCACGAACAAACCCTCCCTGAAGCTGCACTTGTCAGGCATTATTTGTCATAGCAACAAGTAACAAATACATTGACTTTTCTCAGCCTCTAGAGCATTGAGAGTCCCTAGACCCAAGTTCTGTTTCCTTCTAAATCGTTATTGGCTCATAAGGCAGGCCCTGGACTTAAGCAACCTTATCTGTGTTCTGTCTATGTAGGCTAGCTGGCCGTAAACTTAGGATCTTCAGGCTGTCTTATTTTTTAGTATTCAGGAACTCCTTTTCAGAGACTTCCTGTATTGTATTCCTCCTTTTGTTTTCCAGATTTATTGATAAGTAATTTCCACTTTCTAAAAACTTCTGCATATGACTGTGTGATTCACGTTCACCCTGGTGCCCATGGAGGCATCAGATCCTCTGGAACTAGAGTTAGGGATGGCTGTGAGCCACCATATCAGTGCTGGGAACCAAACCCAGGTCCTCTGCAAGAACAAGCACTCTTAACCCATGAGCCACCTCATTAACCAGTTGAGGTATAACTCAAATACAATAAAATTCATGCAGCTAAAATTTTCCTCAGCTTCAACTTTTTGTTAGCCTGGACTGGGGCCATGCTTTTCCCAGGATTGGCACTATGACTTTCTGTTCTAGCCAACACATTTCATATATTTATTTACTTCATTTCATGTGTACAGACCTGTCCATGGGTGTAGGCATGCATCCCTGCATGTATGTATATTAAAAACTAAACATATGTTGTGGGGTGGTGGCACACGTCTTTAATGCCAGCACTCAGGAGGCAGAGGCAGGTGGATCTCTGTGAGCTTGAGGCCAGCCTGGTCTACAAAGATCGTTCCAGGGCAGCCAGGGCTACACAGAGAAACCCTGTCTCGAAAACAAACAAAAAACTAAACAAATAATACACAAATAAAATACCTTTGAAAAATATATGTATATTCTGTGTCTGCCGGCAGTGAAAGAGGTCCTTTGTCCTCCCAGGAGAGTATCTCTTGAGGACTGAAGTCATGAGCTTCCGGCAGAGGGTCAGAAGGTAAGGAAAGAGGACAGAGACCTCTAGCCAAGAGGAACCCTAGTGACCTCACCCAAAGACTACAGGCGCTTTAGCCGACTGCGCAGGCGCACGGAGTCCATAGGCGCGGTGGGCGGCGGCAAGAGGCGATTGGCTGGCTGCCGAGGCCCCACCCCTCATTACGTCACTACCCGGTCAGTCCGCAGGTTCGGGTCGTTCTGGCGCCGTTGCATTCGGCGTGCTGCCAGGGGGTCGTCCCGTCCTTTCGCTCGTCGGGAACGGAGCACCGAGGCCTGTGAGTCCGAGGGCGCGGGGGTGGTGGTGGTGGGGGTGGTGGTGAGAGCAACTCCGGTAGCGGGATCGCCCGTCTGGCCCGAAGCCAGGCCTGCCTCGACAGCCGCGGGGAACCGGCCGGGAGAGGCGAGGACCTGAAGGGATCCCAGTCTCAGCCCGTAGTCTCGTCCCGGCAGCAACGCAAAGCTGGGCGAGCTGAGAGGAGGGGCTGCGCCATTGCTGGGGTCGGTTTTGGCGCGCTCTGGCGTTCGCGCTCCCTATTGGCTGGCGCGCGCCGCTTTGGGCGGGGCTGGCGCTCCCGGGAGGTTTGCTGCTGCGGAGTCTCACGGACGCAGTTTGCCCGGGGCCTGAGCTGGGTCCCTCCGGTTGGCAGCTGCTGACGCTGTTGCTGGGACATGGGCATTGAGTCCTGCTCCTTCCATTCCAGTGATGCCAGTGTAGGTGACAGAGGGTTCTCCTCGGACCCTGACCTATGCTCCTGACTAATGATAGCGGGATCTTGGGCCGTCGCCTGCGTTTTGGGAAACATTGCCCAAGCCTGGGAGGTGGTAGTGCTCAATCTCCAGCACCCTGGACGCCGAGACCGCAGGTTCTAGGTCACTTTTGCCTACTTAGCCGTCTCGAAAGGAAAGAAGAAACAGATTGAGAGTCTCTCGAGTGGGTTTCCGATAAGGGTTTTTTTTTTTTTTCCGATAAGGTTTTATTAACATTTGAAATAGAGTAGAAAATAGAAGAACTTGACACTGGGTTATAAGCTGTTTGTATTTGCATACATGTGTGCATTGGGACACAATGTAAAATGTTAATTACATGTAAGTAAGAGAGGAGTTGGTATTAAATTTGCTATGTAGCTGAGGATGAAGTTGAATTCAGTTTCTCTGGCTTCCCAGCTGCTTGTGCCTTTAGGCCTGGTTTATGCTGTGCTAGGAATGGAGCCGAGCTTCAAGCCATGCAGTTATGCATTCTGCCTGCCCACTGAGAGACATCACCAGCCAAAAGTTCTTGGAATTTTCTTTCCTTTTTTTTTGGGCGGGGGGGGGGGAGGGGGCAGGATGTTGGCTATGTAGCCTAGGCTGCTCTGCCACCGTATTTCAGGGTCGGAGTCAGGTGCCACCATGACAGGCAGGATGGTGTTTTTTAGGGTAGATCTGAGCCTGCTTAAGTGCCTATTTTGATTTTCCTGGTGCCCCTTGATCAGATCTTCCGAGATCTATTTTGTACAGGACACCAGGCCATTCTATCAGATAGTGATTCTGCTATAAAGCAGTAAGATTTTTGTGGTGTAAATAATTTAAAAAAAAGTCTAGACTCTACCTTTAGATACAAACCATACTGGTTTTAAATTGCTTGTTTGTTTGTTTGTTTTTATGTGTGTATTGCCAGCTGAAAAATGAATCCCAGTATGAAGCAGAAACAGGAAGGAGCCCAGGAGAACATGAAGGTGTGTAATGGAGCCCCTTAAATGTGCCTGAATTTGTTCCTTTTAATTAAGAGGTAAAGTCTTGCCGTGTTGCCCAGGCTGACCCCAAACTCCTGGACTGAAACTATTTCCTCAGCCCTTAGAGGGAATTTAAATTCAGGACTCATTATCAGAAGTTGGAAAACTGAGTGTACCCTGGCATATATTTTGGGGAGAGGATGTGCAGGGTATCAAATTGTTTTCTGAAAAGGTTAAGGTTTAAACATATGAATGAATGTGGAATCTAGAAGTCTGTTATTAATGTTATTTTAATAATGTGTATATTATTATACACATAAGGAAATGAATGTTATAGTAGTATACATCCCTTGGGTTATAGTTTATAAAGCTTACATGGATAAAGTAGAAATCCTGGAAGTGGCCCTTGTAATATGTGTGTCAGCAACTTAGTTGGCTTCTTTGACCATTGTCAAGATCCAACATTTAGTTTTGTTTTCTTCTGTTTAGAGACTTGATTAATCTGTAATCTAAATTATATCTGAAATGTTGTTGTAATATTTGTTCTCATGGTAGTTGGCATTTGTTCCTCGGTTAAATAGTGACATAATAATCCGCAGTAGAAACTTTACCGTGGGAAAGGTGACCTCTGTGCTGTCAAGTACAGTAACTTTCTCACGCTGGCGTGGTGTCATGTTCTTGCTAACCTTGTTTGAGTATTCACCGTTGTTTGCTATCCCATGGTGCCAGTAGAACTAATGGTTCCTTTTTTTTTTCCTTTTCAAAATAGAACTTACAAATCAGGAAATACATTGGCTATTTCCATATTTTAAAGAAGACAAAATTTTTATTTTTAGAATAGTAACTTGGGGATTTTAGAGGGTTCTTTGTGGGGGCTGGGTTTGTTTCGAGACAAGGTCTCACTATGTTGCCTTGGCTATTCTGAAACTCAGAAATCTACCTGCCTCTACCTCTGCATCCTGAATACTGGGATTAAATGTACGCTCCCCGTTCGTGGCTTGTTTTTCTTGTTGTTTACTTGTCTTTTGAGATAGGGTGTCACCTGCGACCCTGCCTAGTGTGGCACTCACTACGCAAACCTCAGACTGGCCTTGAACTCAAAGAGCTCCGCCTGCCTCTGCCTACTAAGTGCTAGGTGGTATAATAGGCTTGTGCTACTCTTGCAAGAGAGTTTTGATTTGTCTAAAGCACAGACATTTTATCAGTGTCCTAATGCATGGACTTGTAGCAGAACGGCTTCTGTTGTCAGGTGATAGTTGAGGAGGGGCTACTCATTATATACACATGCACTTGCTTCCACCTACAGTGTGTTCTAGAAGTTATATTCCTGGTGCCAGGCATAGTGCTACGAGCCTTTAGTTCCAGCACGCGAGAGAAGCAGGTGGATCTGTATGAGACCAAGGCCATCCAGGGCTATACAGAAAGACCCTGTCTCCAGTTAATTAATAAGTAAATAAGTGAAACTTATATTCCTGGGCCTGTGAGATACTTGTTGCCAAACCTGATGAGCTGAGTTGGATCTCTGGAATTAATATTGTGGAAGGAGAGAACTGACTTGCAAGTGTTGTCCTCTGATCTCTGTGCATGCGTGTGTGCATGCACAAGCAAATATAACAAAATATTTTTAATTATATTTCAATATTAACATTTGTATTTGACCAAACCAGGTGGTAATGGTGTGCACCTTTAATGCCAGCACTGAAGAAGCAGAGGGGGGCAAATCTCTTAGTTGGAGACCAGCATGGTTTACAGAATGAGTTCCAGGACATCCAGGGCTACACAGAGAAACACTGTCTCGAAAAAAAACAAAACAACACCACAAACCACTATGACCAAAAACAACATGGAGAAGAAAGAGTTTATTTCAGCTTTCAGGTCTCCAGTCACAGTCCAGCGTTGAGGGAGGTCAGGACAGGAACTCGAGGCAGGAACTGAAGCATAGGCCATGAAGGAGCGCTTCTTACCTGCTTGCTTTTCCTTGCTTGCTCAGTTTGCTTTCTTATGCACCCCAGTACACCTGCCCAGGGATGATAGCGCTGGAACAGCTGAGCCCTTCATATCCATTATCAACCAAGAAAATGCCCCCATGCTTGCCTACGGGCCATTCTTCCATCAGCTGAGATTCTCTTCCCAGATGTATCCTGCTTTTTGACACAAACCAACCAGCAGTTTTCTTTCTTTTCTTTTCTTTTTCTTTCACAAAATGCCCATAATGTTTGGGAATATTTAGAGTTCTCACATGAATTATTTTTATTAAATAAAAATATTTTGTGGAATCACTAACCTTTTCTCTCAGTGTTTATCTCTTTTGTAAAGTAGAATGTTTGTAAATCCCAGTGTAGAAGATTTTTTTTAAAGAATACAGTTAGTGTTTAATTGAAATTCTGTCATACATCATTTGAACTGTCACTGCCACCACAGAAAGAGTTAATGTGTGTTTTAACTAAATAAGATGGGTCGACAATGATTACAGCAAGACTACGTATTAGAGTGAGAAAAGTTATCTGTGTGTCTGGCTTGGGTGATATGACCTACCTATTAATGATTTTAATAACTTTAATCTTGGGAAATAAGTTTGCTGGTTGATTAAGCCAACATCTTATTCCAATATCTTATTCTAATACAACATTGTGATATATATTATCTTGTGTTCTTAGTGTTTTTTTTTTTTAACTCTCAGATTAAAGTAAGGCCCAGTCTAACTGTATAGAAACTTGGAAAGTAATCGTATAGCACTAACCAGATAATGAATCGTCTTACCTCTAGAATAGTCCCATCCCAAGGAGAACACTGAAGATGATTCAGCCTTCTGCAGATGGGTCTCTTGTTGGCCGAGAAAATGAGGTATGTGTCCAGGGCTAAAGAGGGGAGATGGTCAGTCAGCGTTAAACAGTTCCCAAGGTTTCTTAAGTGCTAATTTGTTTTAACTGTAGCTAAACTTAAAAGTCTAAATAGTTGCTGCAAATAAATTTCTAAAATAATATTATAGATTCTGGTAGATTTATAAAATTTACATTTATATGCTGAAGAGACAGCTCTGTGGTTAAAAGCACACATTAGGTCTTCCAGAGGACCTAAGTTCAGTTCCCAGTGCCTATGTCAGGCTGCTCACAACTGTCTGTAACTCATCTTTAAAGGGGTCGGACACCCTTTTCTGGCCAAGGACTGCATTCAAATCCATAAACGCACACAGATATCAAAATGGAATTACAAATGCAGTCTAAAAATATTACAACGATTAATTTGTGTGTGGGTATGTATGTGTATGTTTACCTGGGCTTTGGAGCATGTGAGTGCCATAGTCCACAATTGAAGTCAGATGACAGCGTTCAGGAATCTCCTCTGTCACTGTGTGGGTCACAGGGATTGAATGCAGGATGTCAGCCTGGGCAGCAAGTACTTTTATCTGATGAGCCATCTCACCAGCCCTGTTTTGGTAGTTTTGAATTGTATAACTTAAAAAAAAAATTCTTAAATACATAAATAACTGAACAATGTGGCTTTCTTGTTTACCAAATCTAAGTAATTTAGCATTTCCATCACAGTTGCCAAAAGGCTTGTCCAAAAGGAAGCTTTGGAATGACCAGTTAACCAAGACTTCAAGCTCTGGTTCAGAAAGTAGTGAAAATAAAGACGTTGGAGATGTCACCCAGGAAGCATTTGATCTTATGATTAAAGGTACGAAAAAAGAATATAGCCTTGTCCTGAAAGTTACAATGAAGGTGTGTTATTTGGTGGGGTTACTGTTTGATAATTTAATGTTTTGTATTGTAAATAGGCAAATACTCCAAATTTGAACACATGAACTATTTGTTTGGCAAGACCCCGATATGGTTAAGATATTAAAGAACAGGACAGTGACTAAATTGACATCTGTGAGAGTGAATTGCACTGGGATTTTACAAGACCTGGAAATGGGCTTTTTATAAGAAAAGTGATAATAGAGGAAGGATTTGAATATTCCAAGAGGACACTAAGTAATAGGGCCAATAGGAACATCACTGGGGAAGGGGAGATAAAGGTGAAGGAGAAATACATATTATTGCTTGTTTATTTTTTGAGACAGGGTTTCTCTGTGTAGCTCTGGCTGTCCTAGGACTCACTTTGTAGACCTGGCTGATCTTGAACTCAGAGGTCTGCCTGCCTCTGCCTCCCTAGTGCTGTGATTAGAGTCATGTACCACCTCCTCCTGGCTGAAATACACTTAATTAAAAGTGTATTTAGTGGGAGAGTAGTGGAAAATAGAAGAGAAAAGTGACAATATGTTATAATCATTGTGGTGGGCTTTTTTATTTGGGGACACAGTCTCACTCTGCAGCTCGGACTGTCCTAGAACTCATTGTGTAGCCCCGACCTAGCCTTGAACTCAGGCAGTCTTGCTTCAGTCTTGCCTCACTGAAGAGTACAGGCTTGAACTGCTGCACCTGGCTTACTGGGGAGACTTTTCCTCTGTATTGGTCAGAGGTCATGAGAAGCCTAGAGAAGTTCATTGGCTTGTTCAAAGTCAGTCACAGCAACTTTTGGGTTTGTTCTAAGTTTCCTGGGATGTTGTAAGGAAGTTTAGGAGCACAAAGAACTTTGGTCTACTGGATAGAACCACAGCAGCTCTGTAGTACATTCAAAACAGGACTTGTAATGTTTGTACCCGATTTGGTTAAAATCAGTCAAGGGTTAGTTATATACACGTCAGAAATGTTGTTCGTGCAGTCATTGGTGATTGTAGATCATTAATTATAGAAAGTACCAGTAAAACTATGACTATATATATATATCATTAGAATTAAAAGACCCACACAGATTGCCTGAATTTTGTTAAATCTTTTGTTGGTACTGTATTGGTGTACTCTTGCGAAGAAAAATCTCCTATGTATTTTAGAATGGAGCAAATGAGTATGTTGGTGTTGGGAGGCAGGTTCTCAATAGGGTGAATGAAAATACAAATGTGGGGTGGAGAAGGGAAGGATGAATTGTTGAATTGGTTGGGAGTATTAGTATAAATTGATTATTGAAAACCCTTCCACTTGCCGGGTCGGGGGTGGTGCACGTCTTTAATCCCAGCGTTTGGGAGTCAGAGACAGGCAGATCTCTGAGTTTGAGGCCAACAGGCTCCAAAACTACAGAGAAACCCTGTCTCGTAAAACAAACAAACAAATCCTTCCACTGAAAGCAAGAAACACACCAGATACCCAATTCTTGGTTTGTAAACACTGTTCTGCACTGAAGCTCTTGAGGAAGTGGCTGATGCTCTAGGAGTCCAGTATCCGGGATACTATATAGAGTGATCCTTACGTCTCATATCAGAAAATAAGGGAAAATGTTGGACATGTTTAAGGAACAGATTCAATTTGAAGAAATGAACACTGATTAAATGTGTGAAATTTTCAGCCTCAAAATGGCTAGTGGCAAGAATGACTTCTAATTAAGCTGGCCACGGTGCCAAACACTTGTAGTGCATGCTGTCCAACGTAAAGACAGGATCACTTCCAAGTCATTCTCAGCTATTTGTCAAGTTCAAGGCCAGCCAGCCTGGGATATATGTCTCAAAATAAAAACAGTGACAGTATTGCTCTTGGTACGGTGAAGGGAAAAGAGCATATGAATCCGTAATGGTAACTTAAGAGAAAATGGAATAGGGAATTCCTTTTAAAATCATATCTACAGTAGTTATAGAAGATTAAAGCAAGAATCTCCAATAGAGTTAAAGTTGGTTGGGGAACAGTTTTGCTCCCTAGATCTCTTGCTACCAAGGAAAACAATATCTACAAGGGAGAAATTTGGTATATGGCAGCCAAATCAAATGATCATATTTTATATTCAATATTGTAACATTTTAGTTTGTATTCATGATAATACACTGAAGACACTGTGCATTTTGCAATATTCCTGTCAAAAATGTTGAGCCTGAAACAAATTCAAAATTAAACTCTCTAGGGGCTGGAGAGATGACTCAGTGGTTAAGAGCATTGCCTGCTCTACCAAAGGTCCTGAATTCAATTCCCAGGAACCACATGGTGGCTCACAACCATCTGTAATGGGGTCTGGTGCCCTCTTCTGGCCAGCAGGTATACACACAGACAGAATATTGTATACATAATAAATAAATAAATATTTTTAAAAAAATTAAGCACTCTACGCAAATTAATTGGTCTAGACCTTTCAAAGGTAACACTATTTGTACTGACAGTATAGCTCGGTGGTAGAGTCCCTGTCCCTCATAAAGGTCAAATAAAAAGGCATAAGCACAAAACAAACCTTGTAAAATGTTAAACCGTATAGGTAATACATCTGCACTTACTTTCCTTTTGCTGCAATTCTTTTCAAGGATTGAAAACTCTGATATGTTGGAGGGAAAATAAAAATTAGGTTGGAATTTTCAATAGAAATAAATGACTGAGTTGTTTATAGCAGTAAGTTTTGTGTTTTTGAGATAAGGACTTACTGTGCAGTCCAGGCTGGCCTCAGACTCCTGAGTGCTAGGATTAGAGACATGTGCTCTACCACAGCCAGGGGTTTAAAGTTATGTAAAACACTGATTTATTTCAGAAAATCCATCTTCTCTGTATTGGAAAGAACTGGCAGAACAACGAAGGAAAGCTCTCTATGAAGCACTTAAAGAAAATGAGAAAGTACGTATTGAATTCATACCATTTAAAGGGCTCTGTAGCGTTCTTTTTCATTTCAGCATAGTTGGACTGGTATAGACTAGCTTGAGTGTTGGTCCAATGTACGTTTGACTACATGAGCAGAATGAGTCCTCTGTTTTACTGCATGGGTTTGTCAGTGATCTGATTGGAGGGTTCTGGAGATCAGAGCAGATCTATGGAATACTAAGCTTTATTTTCATTTTATAGCTTCATAAAGCAATTGAACAAAAGGACAGTGAAATTGCCCGCCTAAAAAAGGAGAATAAAGATTTGGCAGAAGTAGCAGAACACGTACAGTACATGGCAGAAGTAATTGAGGTAGGTAATTTCATATTGATTGGACTCAGAGTCATGGAGGCAGTGTTTGGTCAGTGAGTGTTCAGCCTGTAATGAGATTCCCAGCACCACTGAGTTTCTTGGACAGAGCAGGTTATTTATCCTGTCAGGATTTTACTTTCCTCACCTGTAAAATGGAAGTGATAAGCCCACACCTGAGAAAGATGAGAAGAGTTACTCCGTTGCACAGGTGACGCATTTCTAGGTTCTAGTTCGTATAAGCATATCAGCTGTCATTTAGAAAACAAATAGGCTTTATCTGACTTTAAAGTCTGGAAATAGCTAATGTTTTCAAAGTCAGCCTGATTTCTCTGACTTTACCAGGCTTTACTTGATAAATGCTCTCAGCCTTTTTTTGTATTTATAAAGCAAATCCATCTTACCAGTGGAAGAAAGCTTTCATCAACCTTGCATTAAATTACTGCCTTAACATTTAGAACCATGGCATGTTGTTATTTTAAGGCTTTTTGTAAAAAAATTATTTTTAATTATGAGTGAGTGTGGTTGGAGCGAGAGTTATGGGTGCTAGGAAAGGAACTCTGGTCCTCTGGAGGACCATGATCTTTTTTTTTTTTAATTTTTTATTGAGAAAAAGAAAAAGTTTCCGCCTCCTCCCAACCTCCCATTTCCCTCCCCCCCCCCCACCTTTCTCCCTCTTCCCCCACTCTTTTCCCCCTCCCTCTCCAGTCCAAAGAGCAGTCAGGGTTCACTGCCCTGTGGAAAGTTCAAGGTCCTATTCGTCAGTATTGCTATAGGATAGGGTCATTTCAGGTTCCCTATCCTCAGAGGACCATGATCTTAACCATTTGAGGCGTCTCTCCAGCCCTGCCTTGACAATCTTTGAAGTACTGAACTAGTTCTCTGTGTTGACTTTAAAAATATGGTCCCCAACTGGGTAGAAATTAAGAACATATAGTTCTGTGGTTCCAGAGAAGTACCAGTTTTAATTGTGCTTTGGAAGCAGCTCAGTCAGTGCTTTAAATAAACAAAAAGCCCCAGTAAATTGCTAACTGGACTTTGCTGATATGATGTGGCACTTGTGTAGACTTTGATATAACACTGTAAGTGAATTTATTGGGGGTATTATAACATTGGTGGGTTGCTCTATCAGTATACTGATTAATAGTGGGTTTCCATTTCAAGATTTTTACGATAAATTGGTGGTTTTTCCTTAAAAGAGGCTGAGTAATGAACCTCTAGATAGCTTTGAATCACCGGATAGTCAAGAATTTGATTCTGAAGAGGAAATTGTTGAGGATTCTGAAGTGGAAGACTCGGAAGCTGGAACATGTGCTGAAGAGACTGTGTCTTCCTCCATGGATGACAAACCATGTACATGAAGTGTGAAATACACTGCCAACCTTGCCCTTCGGTCTAGCTCTTGGTAAATTAACTACAAGATGCAAGTACTGGGCTCCACGTTTGAATCCTGGGGCTAGTACGCATTAAAATACAGATAGTATGTATTTTTAATCTGTTGTTTTATGTAAATAGCATTTTCATTTTCTCAGTGTCATATGTGACTTGTGTATATTAAATAAACTTCAATTTCCTGTTGAACATGGTATATTTTGGAGACTTCAGTGTATCCAATTTGTAGAAAATGCACTTGTTATAGAAAACTATAGAAGTATTTTATTATTTCACTGTTATAGACGTGGGAAATGAACTTTTGTCTGGAGCTGATCTGATTTAAGATAAGCTCTGTTTATCTGATCTCAGGATCACTATGAAGGCTATTGATTTTCATGTTTGCATATTCTTACTCTGTCATAAGAATATGAGTAAGAATTTGAGTAAAGTGTCTGCTTTTCTAAAACTTCCTCAAGTGAATTTGATTAGCCAGGTTAAGGCTTGCTAACCGGTAATGTCATCCTGTTTTGAACCTTCCAAGCCGTTGGTACTGGGTGATGGAGATGGTCCTCAGAAGCAGTGGCGAGGGTGAAGTGCAGTGAGAAACTCAACATAGCTGAAATTTGGAAGCTGTGTACAAGTGTGTAAATAAATATCAAAGGAGGAAGGAGAAGACAAGAAACACTGCTCGCAAAGCACGGGTGGAATATGCTCTGGTGGGCATGGATGTGCTTTTATGTAAATTGACAACAAAGAACATTATCGACCTTTACTTTTCTTACCCTTATTTACTTGTGTGTATGAATGTCAGAGGTCAACTGTGGCAGTCAGTTCTTCCACCTTGTGGGTTGCAGAGGGGTTGCCAGGCCTGCTGAGCCATTTGCCAACCCCAACACTGGCCTTTAAAGGATAATTTTAGGCACATTTTCTTATAGAACTTTAGTTTTCCTGTGTGTAATATTGAGGTAAATCTGTCTTAGTATTACTGTGATGAAAAAGGCCACTGAGTCTGAAGTAAGTGCTTAAAAAAAGAAGCTATTGGGCTGGGATGTAACTCAGTTGAGCTTAGCATGCACAGAGCCCTAGCTTATCCCTAGCTGCATAAACCAAGAGTAGTGGACACTTGTAATCCAGTGCTTTGGGGGGCAGAGGCAGGAGGATCAGAAGGTCAGGGTCCTGCTACATAATGAATTCAAGGCCAACCTGCATACATGAGACCCTGTTGCAAAACAAGCCAGGGAAATGGCTCAGTGGAGAGGAAAGCTAGCTGTCAGAGCCCAGTTTGAGACACCCCCTAACCACTCTTTTCTTTCTGTTTTGTTTTGTTTGTTTTTGTTTTTGAGACCAGGTTTCTCTGTGTAGCTGACTGTCCTGGAACTCTCAATGTGGACTAGGCTGGCCTCTGACTTGGGAGATCCACCTGCCTCTGCCTTCCCAGAGCACTGGAGTTCTAGGATTAAAAGGTGTTTGCTAACGGGCCCAGTTAATGGAACTTGTGCTTTTAAGACAAGCTAGATGCTTTGCAGCCCCAGCATACTTCTCTGTGGAGACTAAGCGGAGACGAGCTCAGCTGCCATCTAGCCTGTGGTATGCGGAGTAGCAGGAAAGACAACTCAGGAAAGGTGTCCTCTGACCATTTATGTGCCTTGGCATGTGTGCCATACTCAATAACTATTTTGTTTGTTTTGTTTTGTTTCTTGTTTTTTTGAGACAGGGTTTCTGTGTAGCTTTGGAGCCTGTCCTGGAACTAGCTCTTGTAGCCCAGGCTGGCCTTGAACTCAGAGATCCACCTGCCTCTGCCTCCCCGAGTATTGGGATTAAAGGCGAGTACTGGGATTAAAGGCATGTGCCACCACCGCCCGGTTTATAATAATAACTATTTTAAAGACAAAAATAGCTATTATTAATAACTTTGTTCAATAGAATTTTTTGTTTTTTTGGTTTTTCGAGACAGGGTTTCTCTGTAGCTTTGGAGCCTGTCCTGGCATTAGCTCTGTAGACCAGGCTGGTCTCGAACTCACAGAGATCCGCCTGCCTCTGCCTCCCGAAATCTGGGATTAAAGGCGTGCGCCACCATCGCCCGGCTGTTCAATAGAATTTGCAGATGATGGTGACATACTTGTGTGTACATTGCAGGAACCACTAGTTCAGCATTCAAAATAGTGTGAATGGAAAACAATTTTTAGTTTATTTATTGCCGCACACCGCGCCCCTGTGTCTGCACTCTGTGTGCTGGCACCCAGTTCGCGAGCTTCGGGAAAGGGGCTGGAGGTTAAAATACACAGACACACACAGACAGAGAGACAGTGACACGGGTCATCCTTGAATTCCCCAAGAATGCCCCCTTTATTGTGTTCAGGGGCAGATTATATAGAGATAGCCACGCCCCAGCCAAACCCACCAGAAACCACTCTCCTGCCATCAGGAACTCCTGAAGGTCTTGTGCTCAGAGCAGCTGTAGGCACTCAGATCAGGGGAAAACAAGTTGTTTACAAGAAATTCAGGATCTGGGGTCTCACTGCTCCCAACAATTTGTTTTATAAACCTTGAGACTAGTGGCTACTAGGAGATGGTGACCATGCATGCCTTGGATTTGGGCCACTAGCTTAAAGATTGCATTAGAGAATCGGCAAATTAACTTTCATAAATATTTGGGATAGGGCAAGGGGGAGAATCCGATGTCACAATTGGAGTGGCAAGTGGGGCTGTGTGCTTAGGTTAGTTACACAAGATAGAAGGTTTCAGGGTAATGTTTCATACTTGTCATCCTGGGGTCTTAGCCCTTTCCACATTTCCTCCTGTCCCCTTTTTGTAGAACTCCCCCATTGCTCACCTTCTCACATAGTTCTGCTTTCATGCGCATGTATTCCATTCATATCTTTCCTCCTCTTCTGGTTATAAAGAGTTTTTTTGTTTTTGTTTTTCGAGACAGGGTGTATCTGTAAAAGCCCTAGCTGTCCTGGAACTGCTTGCCTCTCCCTCCAGAGTGTTGGGATTAAAGGCGTGTGTCACCACCGCCTGGCTGGCTATAAAGAAGATTTTTTTTTTAAATAACATGAAAATAACTCTTAGGACAAATGTCAGAGCAGGAAAGATTTCTAAAGCAAAATGAAAAAGCCTTAACAATATTTAGGTTTGCAAAGGTTTCTCGTACAGGACATAAAGAGCTAAAATTGTGTCATCACTAGGCTTTATAAAAAGTAGAAATTTCTAAGAAACCGAGGGGGAGGGAAATGGGAGGCGGTGGCGGGGAAGAGACAGAAATCTTTAATAAATAAATAAACGGGAAAAAAAAGTGTCTTAGGGTTTCGAAATTAGGGTTTTGTTTCCAATAAACCTGTTAATGAAAAAAAAAAGTAGAAATTTCTCTTTGAAACACAGGCAGAGGACACAGCTTCTCTGAGATGTTTTTCTCCATTTACTTAAGGTTTTTTGATGTGGGATTCTGTATGCTAGGACTATGTTTTATTACCATTGGTTAATAAAAAAGCTGCTTTGGTCTATGATAGGGCAAAGTAGAGCCAGGCTGAAAGGTATATATGCAGAGAGTAGGCGGAGTCAAGGCAGACATCTTGTAGCTGCTGAAGGAGACAGACACTGGAATTTGCCGGTAGGTCACAGCCTCGTGGTAATACATAGAAGAATAGAAATGGGTTAATTTAAGATGTAAGCTAGCTAGGAATACACCTAAGGGATTGGCTGAACAGTGTTGTAATTAATACAGTTTCTGTGATTTTTCGGGTCTGGGCGGCCAGGGAATGAACAAGCAGTCTCCATTTACAATTCTCTAAGACTCAGGCTTATGTTGCCACTGTCGGAGAGGCTTGACCGGCAGGCAGTCTTAGAACAGTGGACTGACAACCTGAATTCAGACCCTGCAGGCCGTGGTGCTAGGAGAAAACTGACCCCTAATTGTTCTTGACCTGCACGCGTGGGCCTTGGAGCGCGAGTGGCTGCACTTGCACTAAAAAGCTATTCTGCTCACCAGGCATGGTGGCGCGGATCTTTAATCCCAGCACTAGGGAGACAGAGGCACATAGGAGGATCTCTGAGTTTGAGGGCAACCTGGTCTGCAAAGTGAATTCTAAGACAACAAGGGCTACATAGAGAAATTCTGTTACATACACAAAAAAATCACAACAACAAACAATTTGCTAATTGCAGTGCTTTCAGAAGTACATTCCGGTGCATGCCGGTGTAGCACCACATTGCCATAGGGCCTTTCATTTTGTTTAACTAACTATCCCTTCAAAAGAGCTCTGTGGACTCAGCCTTCCGTAGTGGCACACACCTGTAACCCCAGCACTCAGGAGGCAGAGGCAGGAGAATCTCCCAAGTTTGAGGTCAGCCTGGTGTACAGAGCGAATTCCACGATAGCCACTTTAAAGTTACATAGTAAGACTCTTGTCTTAAAAAAAAAAAAAACAAAAAAAAACAACCTAACAAAAAACAATAGCAACGAAAAAAAACCACAAAGATCTCTGGACTTACGGTTTTACCAGATAAATCACAGGTCAAGGAATGGCAAGAAATTTGTAACTATCAGAGAGCACCAGAGTCCTCTGGATAGGATAATGGGTCCTTATGGTGTGTTTATCAGCCCAGTTCCCCAGCAGGAGTAAAGCTTCCATTTCCTGCTGGGCAGTGGTGGCACACACTTTTAACCCTTGACAATCAGGACTACACAGAGAAACCTTGTTTCAAAAAACCAAGAAAAATTCCATTTTCCCCACAGTAGTTTTTTTTTTTTGTTGTTCAAACTTATTTCCATTTGATTTAAAATTCAAGTTGCTATTATATGGTTTGATACTCAAAGAGGAATTTGTTCAAATAATGCTGCTAACATTTCCAGGTAACTTGATAGCAATGGCCACAAATGCCAGGGAACCTACTGTGGTGTTTGCACTTTTGGGAGGCTTGGTTCTTCTGGAACTGGGGTTTCCAGCTCATCTGAAATTGGTCCAAGTTTCTGGGTGATGCGCGGGCAGATCACCTTAGGGAGGCTTTGTCTTTAGCAGCGATAGCTCAGTTTCTTTGCCTGTTGTTGTGATAAGATTCTCTGGCAAACATAATTTATTTTAGAATTTTTTATTTTTACTTTATGTGCATCAGTGTTTTTGTATATATACAAACTTATGTGTATACACATACACACATATCTGTGTAAGGGTGTTATATATCCTGGAACAGGGGTTACAGACAGTTGTGAGCTTC